CTCCATGTGATAAAAAGTCAGAATTGATTAGGAAGCTGAGCAAATGTTCTTGAGTTAGGGATGCATCCCCCAACCATCATCTTCTTGTACACAGCAAAGGCTCAGTCTGAATTGCCTGAGATACTATATCCTCGAATGAGAGCACTATAAGTGAAGATATTAGGTTCAAGACCTGCTTGTAGTAGTTCTTCATACATCATTCCTGCTTGGTCCACCATACCAACCAACCCAAAATTAAGAATAAGTGAATTGTATGTGTAAAGATCAGGAGTGATGCCCCTACTCTTCATTTCATTGAAAAGAGAAAGAGCATCCTCCAACCTACTCGACCTTCCAAGACCATTGATGATAAGATTGTAAGAAACTGAGTCAGGATCAAGGCCAGTAAGCTTTAGTTCCTTAAAGTAGTGCAGAGCATCATCAATTCTACCTACCATGCACAGGCACTCTACAAGAATAGTCTAAGACTTCAAACTAGGCCTCATTCCTTCTTTAACCATCCTATCGAACAAATCACAAGCTGTTTCAATTTTACCTGCTTTCCCAAATCCATTAATAAGAATATTGTAAATTGCACAGTTTGGCTCACATTGGTAGTCTGACATATACTCGAAGAGTTTCATCGCTTCCTCCAACCTTCCAGCCTTCAATAGACCATCTATAAGAGGGCCTTATGTACAAGGAGTGGGAGAGAAATTAGCACTTACAAGATCATTGTATAGATCTAATGCTTTGTCTAAGCTATTAGATTTCGCAAGGGCAGAAATGATGATATTATGGGTTACTGCACTAGGCTTGCAACCCCTAGAAAGCATCTCCTTGCAAAGCTCAAAAAGTTTATCAATCTTCCTGGATTTCCAAAGAGCATCAAGCAACAAGTTATAGGTAAAAATATCTGGTCCACAACCAATATTTTTCATCTCAGCATAAAGATCCCAGGCTTTTTCATTGATATTACATCCCAAAAGTCCATCCATCAAGCAATTATATGTTTCCAAGGTCAGGTGAATTCCCAAGGTTTTTATGAATTTGTAAAATAAATTTTGAGCATCTATGGCCTTGTTTCCCTTACACAGTACTCTGACTAGTGGTAAAACTATAGTCATTTTGGCAAATCAAATTGCATACCAACTTTTCAGCAAATAAAATGGCTTTTTCTAATTTGGTTTGAACTAGAATACCATCCATTAATTCTTCCCAGAATTGTTTGCGTGTCTGTAAATAAAATTTTTGTGCGAATTCCATGACAATCTAAACAGCATCGTCAACCCTCCCAAGCCTCAAAACACCAGGAAGGAGGGTGCACAAAGTTACTTGGTCAGGGTAGAGAAATTTTTTCATTTGATGGTAAAACCAGAATGCATCATCTGTTCTATCTTCTTTTATCAGACCATAATGATGGTGTTATAAGTCAGAACATCAGGAAGGCAATTCAGTGTTGTTATTTTATATCGCATCTTCAAGGCCAAATCAATCGGGTCATTCTTGCAAAGACAATCAAGGAGTGTGTTAAAAGTTACTATGTTTGGGGGATATCCACATTCTGTCATACTGTCAAACAATTAAAGTACCTTTTGAAGCTTTCCCTCTTTCCCCAAGCCAGCAAGTAAAGTGTTGTGTATCACAACTGTGGGAGCAAGCTTCGTAGCATTCATTCTCCCAAACATTTCCCATGCTTCATCAACCCAATCAGCCTTGTAAAGTGTGTCAATTAAGGGATTGACTATAATTACATCAGGCTCACACCCATTGCCTATCATCTCAAAAAGATGCTTTAAGACTTCATTTATTTGCCCCACTTTGCTATAGCAGTTCATCATCATATTATAGGTCACTGAATCTGGAGCAAGTCCATAATTTTGAATCTCACTGAATATTTCTTTTGCTTCTCTAATCCTACCCATTTTAGCAAGACTATATAAAGAAGCATTACAAGGTATTATACTTGGCACAATTCCTCTACTTCTCATTTTCTCGCAAGTGTCAAGAGCATTTTCAGGATCACCAGACTTTCTATAATAGTCAAAGAAAAGAACATGCGTATAGGCTGTAGGTTCAACACCCCAAGATTTCATATTGTTGAAAAGCTCCAGTGCCTCATCTAACCTTCTCAACCGCGAAAGTCTGGAGATTAGAGTGTTGTAAGTATGAAGATTGGGAAAAATTCCTTTAGTGCTCATGACGTCCAACATAGCAAAAGCCTGATCAACATTCCCAGATTTGCATAAAGCATCAATAAGTATGGTGTAAGCAACCATCAGCTTCCATTTCACTCCAGAGTTTCTTCACCACACCCAAGTCACCACAGTCACTGAGCTTGTCCATTAAGGTAGTGTAGGTTATTCGATCAGGCTTGTGACTGCTAGTTCTCATCTTAGTATATAACTACATGGCTCTATCAAGTTTCCGTGCAGTACAAAGCGCATTAATTAAAACTGTGTAAGTAACAACATCTGGTCCACATCCCTCATCTTCCATTTTCTTCAAAATCCCATAGGCATCGTCAATTTTCCCAGCTCTCCTACATATAGTATATGAATAAATATTTGGCCTCAAACCCAACGTTTCCATCTCTTCCAATAAACCCATTGCGGTTCCAGTATCCCTTCTCTTCCCCAAGGCCACCATTAGTGCTGAGTAGGTCTTCATGCTAGGCTTTATTTCTTCTGTGACCACTCTTCTGTAAACCTGCAAAGCCTCTCTACAAGAACCAGATTGGAGCAGTAAATGAATCAGTCCGTTAAATGAACATGCATTCAAGACAAACCCAGCTTTCCTTCTTTTTCCAAGTGCAAACGGTGCTTGCCGTATCCCTCCTTTGACAGAAAGAGCTCTGAAAATGATGGAGCATGTATTCAAATTTCTCTTGACAATCCGCTTTTGCATCAAATTGAAGACAAAAGCCATATCCCCAATCCTATTGTGAATCCTTAAGAACTCAGGCATGTAATTGCATGCTTCGGTCGCATGCACAAAACTAGGCAACCGGGCAACTGAGTTAAAGTAGGAAAGAGCAGAATTAGGTTCCCACTTTGACTTGGGAACGCTCATAACTTCTTCAGATGACACTTTTTCTCTTCTCTTCTCATTTACCACAACCACCTCATGTGAACAACTCGTTCCAATGCCCACTTGCTTTATTCCATGTTTCTTCCTATTCTTCGAAGAACCACGGGGTAAAATCTTCATATTTACACAACTGCTCCGTCTCGAGTAGCCATTATAGTTAAAAACGTAGATATTACCATCCGTCGAGGCACAATCATAAGATATACTAGTATAATCCTAAGACACATGCTTGAGCAGAGGATTAGTACTGCCATGGAAACGCCGCCGCAACAGCAGCAGCCGTAGTAGCAATAAGGGAAAATCACAAATAAGGATCTGGTCCTTTCCTATAATTTAAAAAATAATGCTTTGACAAGGATGCGCTAACGTGGGTGTGAAGGAGGAAGGGAACAGTGAACACAGGCTTCTATAAGCTGAAGATAGATATTCAGAATAATCGTCCGCAAAGGCGTCCATAAGCTTTTTACATTTTGGAAAACTTAGCCACGATCTTATTGGGAGATAATGTGCATGTTTGGATTATAACATAACTTCAGTTAGAGTGAGTCAAACCTTGGTTAGAGAGGAAAAAGTGAAAAAATAATGTTTGGATTAACAAAATATCTCAACCACAGTTAGAGCAAAACGAGCGTTTATTTAGAAGCTGATAGTTGAGGCTTTTTTCCTGGTATTGCGTTGATCTAACTGTTGGAAGCATTGATTATCTTTTCAATTTGTGCATGTTTTCTCTCTCCTCTCATTTATCCAACCCACGAGCTAAGTTCCAGCTTTTCATTCCAGCTTTCTCTTCTCCCGTGACCTCGCAAACTGAAGAACCAGATCAGAGCTCCACCTTCGTTGCTCGTCCAGCGTCCAAGCTCATCTCTACTGTGTTGAAGCAAGTGACCTCCAGCAGATCTCCAGCTTGCTGTCGTCTCTTCTTGTGTCCATCATGTCCCTGCCTGGAAGTGGTCGTTCTCCCTGTTGCCCATCAGTCTCTGGCGTCGACCAACAGAGCTACTCTAGTCACCGGATCTATTGCTCGTAAGCTTTTCTTTTGTCTTCTTTCATTGCCTTCCTTGTGGCCTTTTTCATTCATGGTCTCTACTGTAGATCCCGAATCCCTGTTCCAGATCCTGAATCCCTGTTGCAGTCTCTTTTCGCATCTCTGGTCCATGTTCATCTTTGTTGCCTTTTTCGTTGCCTGCATTCTCTGGTTTGGTCTGTTGTGTTCTTTGTGTGGCATTTTCTGGTCTTTCACTGATTTGTGGTCTGCTGCATTTTTCGGTATTGCATTCTCTGGTCTATTGCATTTTCTGATCTCTTGCATCATGCATGGAAGTTTCTTCTTCTTTTTTTTTTAAATTACACCTTGGTGGAAGTTTCTGATCATCCTTGGCAGAAGGAGAAACTTATGGTTTTTGTTTATATTTTTTAGCCAGTTCAATTTTTTTCCTATTCTGTGTTTTTGATTATCCTCAGGTTTGACAGAATAAAAGTAAGCAAGGGCTGTTTTTTCCTGTTCTATTTTTTTTCCTGTTCTATGTTTTTTTGGCCAGGGATTTGGAATGGAATGAAATGTGAACAAAATAAAAGTAAAAAAAAACTTTTATTAGCTTACCCTCATAAATAAAATTATATTTGTCATCTTTTATAGGTTTAAGGATTGATCAAAAAATTCTTGGACTGGAACAAGGGCTGATCAATAAACTAGAATAATTTTATATACTTGCATGGAATGTGAAATAAATTATGTTGGTGAAACTTTGTGTTGCAAAAACATCTGTCCCCTAAAATATACAAACATGTAATACACACGCCTAATGCTTGGTGATTCTTCCTGTTTTTGTATGAAATATTCTGGAGAAAAAAAAATATGTTAAATTGATACATATATGTAGAGATATATATTGATTTTGCATGTTTGTGATGGCTGGCTAGTCTATACAACAATGAACAGAGACAAAGGAAAAGCTGTGTGGAATTCAACTTTAACAGAAATTTTCATTAAAGAATGCTTGGAACAAGTGTACAAGAAACAAAGGAAAGGAACTGCTTTCAACAAAAATAGGTGGCAGGCAATAATTGAGGGATTTGAGGCAAAAATAGGAAAAAAGTATGAGCGAAAGCAATTGAAAAATAAGCTAGATAACATGAGGAAAGAATGGAACGTATGGCATAAGTTGTTTTCAAGTGAAACCGGCTTAGGATGGGACAGTGACAAGAATACTGTCGATGCTCCAGATGAGTGGTGGGAGCGAAAAATCTTGGTATGGATTAGTTGTTAAGTGTTTTTAAAATTAGAATTTAATTTGAAAATTTTAATTGTTGGTTATTTGAATGGTTGCAGGAAAATCCTCTTTATGAAAAATTTAGATATAAAGGTCTGAGATTTACAAGGGAATTAACCTTGATATTCAAGGATGTCCTAGCAACTGGGGAGACACTTTTTGTACTGTCTGCTACTCAGACCCAAATAGAGGATGATGATGATGAGGATGTGTACCGCCCTACTATTAACCTTCGAGAAGGCTCCGGTGATAGTGAAGAGGAGCTAAATTTATTTGACACTGTAGCACCTACGGGGGTCACCGATGAGTTGTTGGGCTTGAATGTCACCACAAATACCGGTGGAACTAGTGGTGATGGAAGTCAAGGCAAGAGAAACAGGGTGGTAGGCGTTGGTGGGAGGAAAAAAGCAAAAAGTCCCTGCTTCAATGAAAATAGCAGATGCAATGAGTGAAATGGCCAAGGATAATAGAGCTAGAACAGAGACAGTGAACAAGATTTTGGCAAATGACATAGGAGTTTCTGAGGTTGTGGCTCACTTAAATGGACTTCTAGAAGTTTTTGGTGATAAAGATTTGCATTGGAGATGTGTCAATCTTGTTTTATACAAGCCTATGCGAGATGCTTACTGGCAACTTAAAGACCATCCTGATCACTTGGTCAATTAGTTGAAGCACCAAGTCTACCATCTACCGGATTTTATTTCAAGTAATACATCAGGATGAATTTTTATTTAGGCTTATGATGACTTGACTGGTGTTTATTTTGACTTAAAGACTACTTGTAGTTGCTTTTAGCTGACTTGTACCTCGCTATGCTTATGATGACTTGACTGGTGTTTATTTTGACTTAAAGACTACTTGTAGTTTCTTTTGGCTGACTTATACCTCGCTATGCTTATGATGACTTGACTGGTGTTTATTTTGACTTAAAGACTACTTGTAGTTTCTTTTGGCTGGTTTATAGTGAATATTTAACTCTTATCTAATGCTTATCTTATGCTTTATTTTTTATGTTATTAAATGATATTTATATACTATGTATTTTATGTTATATACAAATGATATTCATATACTATTTTACCTCAGGTTGAAAATCATGGAAGATTCAAATGAATATATGTTAGGTTGGAATGAAGTTTGGGATGTAGATGTAGCTCATCAACTACTTCCCTTGTTACAACAAGATATATCTGAGCAAGAAGAAATATGTCAATTAGTTGGTGAATATGTGATGCCATATGTGTGCAAAGAGCCACGAAGAACTAGCAGGCAAACAGGGCAAATGTGGGTCAATGAGATTTTGCAAGGTCATCCTAATCGTTGTTATGAAATGTTTCGAATGGAAAAACATTTGTTTAGGCAACTGTGTGCGACACTAGTTGAGCTTGGTCTAAAGAAATCTAAAAAAAATGGGAGTTGAAGAAATGGTTGGAATGTTTTTGAATACAATTGGACATGGAGTTGGTAATAGGATGATACAGGAACAATTTCAACATTCAGGGGAAACTATCTATAGAAATTTTCATAAAGTATTAGCTGCCTGCCTTAACCTTTCTAAGGCAAACATAAAACCACTTGATCCTTCATTTCAACGATGTCATTCAAAAATTCAAAATGATCCACGATATTGGCCATTCTTTAAGGATGCTATAGGAGCAATTGATGGCACTCATGTGCCATGTGTGGTTAGTGTTGCTGATCAAATTAAATTTATTGGAACAAGGGGATATGCAACACAGAATGTCATGGCTATATGTGATTGGGACATGTGTTTTACTTTTGTCATTGCGGGATGGGAAGGTACAGCTCATGATGCCCGAGTATTTGATAATGCCATATCAACTCCTTCAATGCATTTTCCGCATCCACCTCCAGGTATATTTTATTAAAGTAACTATAATAATTATTGCATTCATTTAATGTTGGTCAAATTTACAACACTTCCTTTTATTTAATAGGTAAATATTATTTGGTTGATTCTGGTTATCCAACACTAAATGGGTATCTTGGTCCATATCGTTGCGAACGTTATCACCTTCCAGACTTCAGGCGAGTTGCAGGATTTGCAAACAATAATGAGGTCTTCAATTATTATCATTCAAGTTTGAGATGCACTATAGAAAGAACTTTTGGAGTATGGAAGAATAGGTTTGCAATTATATGAAAAATGCCCAAATTTAAATATAAAACACAAGTTCAAATTGTTTGTGCAACAATGGCAATACATAACTTTATTAGGAGAAATTCAATTACTGATGAGCAATTCATTCAAGCTGAAGATAAAAGTGTAGATGTCCTTGAGGAAGATATCGATATTGGTGAGGCATCCTCGTCAAATCTACCCGGATCATCAAGACAGATGCAGCATGTTCGTGATATAATTAGAGACCAGCTTGTAAATCATATCAATTGAACATTAATTTATTTTAGGTTTTTGTAATTGAATATTTAAGATATTTTACTTATTAGTTGTGATTTTAAATTTAATATTTTTACTTATTAGTTAGTCTAAAAATATAATCATGCTTATTTAAGATTTAATATTTAAGAAAAAAAATTCATACTTATTTTTGTCATTAAACATTTCAATTGACTTTTAAATCAAATTATCCAAACGAATTTCAGTTTATCTAACTAACTTTTAAAAATAAGGTATCCAAACATAAATCACGTTACATTAACTGACTTTTTTTCTAACCTTAGTTTGCTAACCTCAGTTGAATCTTAACTTCAGTTATAAAATTTTTAATCCAAACACATCCAATTTCATCTTTTGGACTCGCGTCGTGTGGGTGTGCCTACCTTTGACAATTTGTAATGATAATAGGAAAAATGACAACAGAGGATGGACCATTAAAACAAAAAAACAAAAAAATTATATTAAAAATTAAATAAATACTTATCACTAGTCTTCTATCAATAAATAATCATTTAAGTCTTAATAATAATTTATTTTAAATTAGTAATAATTTATTTAAACTTTTTCCACCTAAATTTTGATAATAACTTATCATTGATTAATATAAATATCTATCCATAGTCTTTCATCCCCATTTTCCCACGATAATAATAGGACCCGACTTCTCTGTCTAATGTCCAGTGGCAACCCCTCCTCTCCCTTACAGGTAAGTCTTACACAAGTTTACGTAATTTTCCCAAATATATAATTTCGTGTTTTATATTTAATAAATTGAAATTATATTTATTCTTTACTTATTATTACTGAAATTTCACAATTTACTAATATAAATTATTAATTCACAAGTCATTTTGTATTTTATAAATAATAGACTGAAATTATATTTATTATTCACTTACAATCACAACTTCATAACTTATAAGTAAAAAATTTTAATTTACAAGTTATATTTCATATTTTGTAAATATAAATGTATTTTTTTATATAATATTTGAACAAGGAGAGTGTCAAATGGACCAAAATCTAGAATATTGTAATTATATTCTTCACATGAGGGAAAAACCATAGATATTTTTTTTATTTTAATCTGTCTCACCTTTTTTAATTCCAAGAAAGGGCAAATAAAAAAAAAAAAGAAATCTTTATAATTTATTTCATCGGGTACAATACAAGTATCATATTTTAACTTTAGTTCAACGCATTACAAGCTATTACTTATAAGTAACTAGTCTTTTTTACTACATCTAACTTTGTTTTACATTTGTTTTGGCTAAAAGCTTGCTTTACATTTTTAAGTTAAGAATGAGGTGAGATATGATGGGTGGGAGATTCTCAATCTCACACGTTATATATACCAAGGATTAAAAACTGGATTGATGGGTCAAACATTTTATTGCTTTAACCATTTTTGTTTGTTATTCAAGATATTCTGATAGCCGGTAATTGTGAAAACTAATTTCCCAAAAAATGTAAATATCATTTAACGGGCTGTCGTTTTCCAAATTGGTTTAAGTATCTTTTGCTATATGCATATGAATTTTGCTTTGCTCCTCCGAAGCCCCACTGCTATAAGGCTCCGCTATACCTGTAACAAAATCTAGATAATCTAAACAGTTTGGATTTAATGTTTTATTTTTTAAAAAATAAAAAATTATATATATTTTTTTTTACTAAATCCGGTCACCAATCTTAACAATCTAAATTTAATATTAACTAGTTAATCACCTGTGCGTTGTAGGGATATTATTTTTGCAATTTCTTCTAATTGCTAGATGGTGGCAAACTGTGCATACATTAAGTAGTTATATGCCTAAAATAATTATAAGACATAACTAAATGAATAATATTTAAGAATGACGTCACCAAAAATTGTAGTGATAATATAATAGATAAAATTTAAACACTTATTTAATGATAGGCCCAATAGGCTATTGCAGCAAATAAAGAAAGACAAATAATATGTAAAAACAAATTGTGGATGAATGCAACAATTTGTTACAGAAAACAGTTAAAGAATAAAAAGTATAGCACTTCAATAGATAGATAGCTATCATACAGTAGTTAGATTGTTGAAAATCTTCTTATAGACTACATTTGTAGTAACATTTGTGAGCTTACCATCTGCATCAAGAATTAATATCCTCAACCCGTCCCTACTTTGCACTCAAGATACAATAACATATAGCTACCAATGAGTAAAGACAGATTTTGTTAAGTACAGTCCAATGCCAAGTAAGCTTTGACCCTAGATTTGTTTATGATTATAGCAAAGGACAATATAATTAAAAATTGTCTTATGAAAATAGTGAATGACAGTTGAGAGTCAAAAGGTCATATATATCAATCCTTAGAATGTTGACCTTTATTCTAGCATTTGATCTTGCAATTATTTGTACTTTCAGAATATATTTTCGTATTCAAGTAACAATTAGACGCATGTCATTATAGAGACCAAGAGATTTATCAATATTTCTTGAAAGTACAATAAGAGCTTCAACTTGTGATTTGGGAGGCCAAACATTGATATTGAGTTTGCAAACTTGCTGGAAAATAAATCATCCATCAAGTCAATGTGTCCATCTTGCTTACACACACTATCTAAGCTTAAATAAAACACCTCATATCTAGGAATCATGGATAACATATATTCATTAACCTCATCCATTGTAGAAAACATGGATGTTAGTATGGCCCTATCTCAAAAATAGTAAAATGTTATAGATTCACCAGAACATTATAGTAAAATGTTATTTGGAACAGTGATCTCTGTCTTCCCATTAGTATTTTCCACAATAATTCCATCTCCTATGATATGATCCATTGTGCAAACTCATTAAGCTCTTTATTCATCTATGAAGAATTTGTTGGCAATGGTTTCATGTTCTTAGTTAGAGTCATCAGTCTGCAATCCTTCCATATATAAGATGAGTTAATGGAAGCAAAATGATGTCCTCTCGCCTACCTCTAGGTATCACTAGAAGGATTTGATGAAAATCCCCACAAAACACAATAACCTTAGCACCTAGTGGCATG